GAAGTGGAAGGTTAAATGCTTTGTGTTAATTCTTCTTGAAAGTCTCCCTCTAAAGCTGCCTCCAGGTTTCTAAACTCCTCAGCGTTTGTATCTTGCATTCTCTATGCTTTTGTATGGCCCTTGTTATATGCTAAGGTCGTATAACATTTAGGGGTCCACAACTGCTGCATTTGGAATACAAAGGCGTTGAGGAGGTTCATAGGATATGTCCTACTAAAAGCATCTAGGAGGGCATGTGAGTATAGGCAGAGTGTGGCCATCAGAGAGTGGATGGATATAAGAGATACGGGGTGCACTCTGTCTGGAAGTGAGAAGGTGGAGTTAGCTGCTTTTCAGTGGTTTTCCTCAGACGTCAGTGGGTGCCTTGGTTCAGTCCGGGTTTGCTGCATCTTTAAGGAGAGGCATCTTTTTTCTTGTTATTGCTGCTGCTCCTGGGCTTTCTCCTCCCTGGGATTGCAGTTGACACAGACTTCCGCTGCCAAAGCTAATTGTGAGGCCTGATCAGTGAATGAAGGCAAAGGCAGTTCCCATGACAACCGCAAAGAGTTTCAAATATAGGGAATGATGTGTGTGTGATGGGCTGCAATTACTTGGGTGGAAATTGATGCGTGGACACCGGGGACTTCAAACATAGGCTCTGAAGGTGGAGGGGGTGTTAGGTTTCTTTGGCAGGATCCTTTGTGTGATAGAGAGGGAAGGAGGTCACCGACTTCCCTCACAGTGAATTCCAAGTGCCTTCAGCATGTGGAAAATTGGGCAAAACCCCCCAGGGTGCTTTTAGAAGGCACAAAAGCTTTGGAGAAGCACAACTCCCCCCATTCTAGTTGGGGAAGCAGGACACACAGACAAATTCCAAGTGTCAAATGAGAAACATTAGAAGTGCTGTAGGCTGGCAGAGGGCTGGGGTAACCTGAGAAGGCTTCCTGGAGGAAGCAGGGCTAGAACCAGCTTTGAAGGAATCCCTGTGGAGAGTGACCTCATTCAGGACAGTCACGCATGGCGAGGGAGAGAAGCCTGTTTCTCGGTATCCTCCCCCAGCTCTAGAAGAGGTAGGTGGGCTTGAAAATCATGGTGCTACTGATGAGCTCTGACAGTACCACTTCAAATGAGGGATAGTGAGTCCTGCACATTTTCTAGTTTTGTGTCCTTGGGCAAGGTGCTTAATCTCTCTGTATCCCACTTTTTCCATCATTAGGGTGGGCCTGAATAATTCCCATCTCATTGGTTTGTTTTGAAGGATAAATAGTCTGTATATTGTGCCTCTAGGTGTGGGGCATCAACATGGTTAGTGCTTGGTTGCTGGTGTTGCAGCCCTTCCCATACCCCCAGTGTGTCAGGAGATGTTCACATTGCCTAGTCTTTGTCTTTGTGTAGTTTCACCTGTAGGTGTCCGTGTTCCTGAGATTCTTGGTGTGTGTCCTGGAAGTGGGTGATCCATTCACCTCTTGCCAGTGTGGAGGTCTGTGAGCCCATCCTCCTGCTGTGGGAGTCCTGAGCTGTCCCAGGCACCTCTGGGCTAGTCATTGTGAACCCTCCTATGTAGAAAGAGGGGCATATAGAGATAGAAGGAGAGTCAGGTGTGTGGTGAAGTTTCGTGGAGGCAGAATGGTCCTGGCATGCACCTCTGTGACTGTGTTGAAGCCAGGGATAGCAGGTGCCTCAGCAGAGGGAAGGAGACCAGGGTGGGATGAACATAGGAACAGGTTGACTTCCTTGGAAACTACAGGGTCCTTTGGGATAGTAGAGGACAGGATGGGGACCTGCTGCTGGGGTAGGCACAGGGAGAGGGTTTGAACAGGCAGTTGGGGCAAGAATGTGGTTCTGCGGTTCCTGCAAGCTTGTGATGAGGGCTTGACTAGCTGAACAAATCTGGGATTCAGCTACAGTTCACTTATGGCAGGTCCTGCCCTTCTAGATGAGCAGATGTCCCCTGGCTCCTAGGGGACCTCAGTGAGAAGACCACCCAGAAAAGGGACCTCTCCATCTCAGTGCCCAGCCTCCAGCCTCTCCACCCTGTTCATGTAGAAACTCAGCTCAGCACATTCCAGTTCTGTGCAGAGCCTAGTAAAGGGGGAAGCCAGGGCCCCCGCCTATGTGGGGAAGACACCGTGTAAATAAATAACTATACTTTGATGTGGCTGGTGCCCTCAAGAAAGCAGTACACTGCTCCCTGAGAACACTGGAGGAGCCTGGATTACTCATGGAGACTTGATGACTGAGAAACTGGCAGAGGGAAGGCACTGTTTGCATTAAGCCTTGTCCCACATTAGTTTGTTAGGAGGAGAAAGGGCACCCAGGCAGAAGGAGCAGCATCAAGAAGTCTCCAAGCATGAAAACATGACTATTCTCAGATCTGCTGCTTAAAGGGAAGTAGTCAGTTTGAGCAACCCATTGTTTTTGCATCTCTGTGGGGTTGACAGGGTGGGAGAGAGGGAGTGTTAAGAGCACTGGAATGAGAGAGGCTAGGGTTTGAAGTCCAGCCCACTACTCACCAGTTTGTGTTGACAGTAGGTAACTTCACATCTCTAAGCCCCTCCATTTCCCTGTAATAGACAAGGCTGTGGGTGGAGCAGGTCAGATGAGATGATCCTACAATGTGGCCGGTGCAGAGCCTAGTACATAGCACAGGCTTGATAAACTGTAGTAGCTGTAGCAGCAGCAGTATTAATTGATACAGTCCAATCGGTAGTAGTCTGTCTTATCCACCAGAAGACTATGTATGGGACAAAGGGGTAGGAAAGGGTTTTGGGGACCAGGATTATGGAGGGACTCTACTTGGCCTGCTCAGAGTAAGAGTTAAAAGGTACACACACACACACACACAAAAAAAAAAAAAAAAAAAAGAGTTAAAAGGTACCAAAAGCCATTTTCCACCAAAGCCATGGTTTGAGACATTGTTCCTTACTCTGCCTTGTAAAGTCTCCCTTCCTATTGTGAGAAGCCCAGTTGTTCTGCTGTTGTACTGTTTGTCCCCAGGGGAAGGCAGGTATGGGCCCGGGTGACTCCTGGAGTCCCATCCCCAGAAGCCAGCTTTGCTGTCTCTCCTAAGGCAGCTCATTCTGTTTGGAGTACTCCCTTGGGGCCCGGGGGAGGGACAGCAATTAGGCATCTGTGGTCGTGTGGGTAATAGAGCGAATCACTGGCTCAGGGGCTGTCATGCATCCTACCTAGTCCTGTGAGTCACTTCTCTCTGGCCTCAGCTTACTCATCTGTGAGAATGAGAAATAGCACCCAGTGAGCTCTTCCAGAAGTGAAGAGTGCTGGTAGCTCCCAGCATGGACAGAGTGGCAAATGATGTGCTGCATCTCTTCATGCGAGCCCCACAACTGTATGGAGGAGCTGGTAGTTCCGTCTTACAGATGAGCCAAGACAGGCTAAGACAGGTAAGTTAGCACTGGCCAGGTACTGGGGGCAGCTAGAGGCAGGATGATGGCCCCTTCCCCTCCTCTTGTTCTTTCTCCACTCCCCGCCTTCCTTCCTCCTTCCCCTCTGTCCCCTTCAGTGTGCTGGAGCCTGGGATCGAACTCAGAGTTGTGGATACTGGAGTGTGTAGGATGTGGACACTCTGGGGTGTTCAGCTGCTGGGGTAGAGGTGGGGCAGAAAAGAATTGATGAGTCCCATAGTGGTCTGCAGGGCTATCCTTTTTTTCTCCTCTGCTCTTGCCTGTCCTGCCTGCCTTTCAGTCATAGGGCACTGCAGCCTTCAGAGGCTTTGAGTCTGGGAACTGGAAGGTCAGAGCTTTAGGGTCTGGACCACCACCCTGCCTTGTTCTCTTCCGGATATGAGCCCTGGGGGTTCTTGGAGGAGCACCTCCGAGAGGGAAACCATGGTGGGTGGGGTGTGTTCTCGCAGCGGCACTGAGTGAGCCTGGTAGAAGAAAGTGGGCGTTTGAGTGTCCCCAGAGGGTGCAGCTGACTTGGGGAGGCTGAGTCACAGGCATTGTGGGTTCCCAGAAGCAGCCTGTTTTCTGAGGTGGGTACTGGAGGGCAAGGGAAGTGAAAAAGTCTTTAGAGTGCACAAACCTGGCATGGAGTCTCGGCTCTGCTGTGTTTTAGCTGTATCACCTTGGGTAAGTTACTTCACTTGTCCGCCTTGTTTCCTTATCTGCAAAGTGGGGTAAAGGTTCGCGCTGCCTGGGCTTTCTCTTCTCGGAGGCCTGAAGGCTGAAGGCTGTAGGCTCTTGCGGGTCTTGTGTCCTGTGGCTGCCAGCCTAAGGTTGGCTAGAGAGTGGCGGGGGTGGGAATCCCACCGGCGCCTGCCCTACCCCGAGCGCAGTGTGCCATCTTTGACCCCGGAGGCACAGAGGACGTCTTCTGCATATTTCCTTCGGGGTGGCCTCAGGAGGACACAGGGGGTGCCCCGGGATCCCCAGCCTGCTAGGGAGCGGCGGCAGGCCTGGGAAGCAGCCCTGGCGGCTCCTTGCACCCTCGCGGCGCCCCCGCCTCCCGGCTGGGCAGGTCCACCCGCGGGGGCAGGGCCGGGCGCAGGATTGGCTGGCGCGCGCGCCGCCCCAGCCTCGCGCGGGGAGGGAGGGCGGGGAGCTCACGGCAGCTGGCCGCCGCCGCCTCTGCAGTGCCTCCCTCCGTGCGCTCCCTCCGGCGGGGATAATGGGAGGCCCGGCGGCGGCCGATGCACCAGAGGAGGCCGGCAGAGGTAGTGCGCACAGGGCCAGGAGGGACGGGCAGGCCGGACGCTGGCCGGGAACTAGGGACCAGTGCCCTCTCGCATCTCGGGAGGGTTCAAAAAGGAGAAATGAAAACAAAAACACACTGGACGACGAAGGAACCCATCAGCGCGGGTCTGGGCGGCAGCTGGAGGCAGGAAGATGATCCCCGCTAGCCTTTCTTCCCGAGGCCCCTTCCCTTCGCTTCCTTCTTCCTCCTCCCCTCCTTCTTTCCTTCCTTCCTTCCTCTTCGGTGTGCTGAGGGGTGCTGAGGAAGGACTTTGCTTCTTTTCTGGTATCGGCCTGGCTCATCAGTCTCTCTGGCTTCATTTGCAGGTGGAAATAAAGGCTGGTGAAGGAGCCGGGCCGTGGACACAAGGGGCGGCTGTCAAGGTACCTCGTGTGTGTGTGTGTGTGTGTGTGTGTGTGTGTGTGTGTGTGTGTGTAGGGGTGAAGTGTTTGACTGGATTGGATAAAAATAAAGGGTCTCCTCCGGTGATCCCTTAATCTCCCACTGTGTGTAGCAGCAGCTGAGGGGGAGGGGCGGTGGGAGTGTGGGCGGCCAATGAATTCTCAGGCCTGTGTGGGTTTTGTTTGGATTCTTTTTGCTTTCTCAGCTGGATGGTTTGGGTGCAGTTGGGGTTTGGTTTGTTGAACTGTTTTTATTTTTTATTTTTAAAGACATGCAACCCACTCCCTACCCCTGGAAATCTCTGGAGAATGTCCCTGGCACTGTTGGTTTGCATCCAATCTGCAGAAATCCCCCCGGGGGGGGGGGTGTTGGAGAGGAGGAGGGGGAATTGCGCTCCTGAGTCTGAAGCTGATAGGGTGTCATTAGTCATGCTGCTGTCACCATGGAGATGGCTGGAGAGGAGGTGGTGGGGGTGAGGATATTTTGGGTAGGGTGGGGGCTGATGCAACATCATGACTGAGAAGCTGGCGAGTGTCTAATGTTACTCTCTGTGGCCTGGTATCTAGGGGACTGGGAAGGGAGAGTTCCCAGGTGTGTGGGAAGTAGAGAAGGGGCGCTGCTGCTCCAGGTGGTTGACTGAGGGCGAGGGCTGGGATATGTAGGGCACGGAGTTGGAGAGTCTACTGGGGTATCCGTCATTGCTAGGAAATCACGGATAGTCCTTTCAGTTTGGCAAGGATCAGACCTGTAGGTTTCCTTGACCCTATTTTCTAGGCTAGGGGCTCATCGTGAGTTTGGGATTAGTCAGCACTATCCTCTACTGGCCCAGGGCAGAGAAAACAGAATAGGAGACAGTTTGGCTTGGTTGTCTTTCAAGAAGCAGAGAGACTGGGAGGGCCAGGGGGACAGGTGTGCAGGGGCTGGCGGGGTGGGGCTCTTCCTAACAGGAAGCTGGAAGAGCCTGTGCTTGGGAAGCAGGTGGGGAAGCTGCTAGTGTCCCAACATGCTCTTAGTCTCTCCTCCCTGGAAATTCTCCTCCCACTTCCTGGGAAAGCTGTGGGAAGCTCCGCGGAGGTGCTGTAAGTGGCATCGTGCCATCTTACTGCCTGAGTGGGGACACTGGTGGGGAAAGGCTCTAGATCCCATCATGGGATGGGGGCTCCTGAGCAAGACTGCAGTGTGGATCAGAAGGCCAGGGTGTTTCCTTGGCTTCCTCCCAAGGAACTTGAGGCCAGGAAGTGCTTGTGGAAGGGCATGGATTTTGCTTCTGGAGCAGCTTCTGGGGGAAGGAGATGAGCCAGGTTGCATTGTCGACTCCCAGGGGAGTTCACATGCCTTGATGACGCTAGTTGCAGTCAGCGATCTCCTGGGATGAGACTGTGGGTGGCCCTGAGGTGGACAGAGGGTAGTGTGTACCAGTGATGCCAGGGGTGCAGAGAAGAGAGCTGTGAGCTCACCTCGGCTCACTCATACTGGCTCTTACTCCCTCTCTTCAGAGAATTCCCAGGTTTCACTTCTGCTTCCTCCCTTGGGTCCCCACTGCTGACCAGGGATTGGGGACAGATGGGCTCAGAGAGGGGGCAGGTTCCTCCTCCCTGTCTATCTCCAGCCTTGTCAGCAGAGCTTACTTCTCTGCTGACAGAAGGCATGCTGTTGGGTCTGTTTACTCTGAAGCACCTGTCCCGCCTCCCTCAGTGATGGCTGTCCTTGGTAGACCTGCTTCCTGTCCACTTGTTTCAAGTCTTCTTTCTGCTCTTCTCTCTGGTTCTCTGGCTTCCATTCTGCTGGCCTAGGATAAGACTGGTTTTCTGTAGACCTGCTAGAGGTTCCCAGCCTAGTATCCAGCCCTTGTGAAGTACTCTTGTGGGTATGTGGAAAAGGCTACTTCAGTATTTACAGAAGCCCTCCAAGTAAGTCTTTCCCCTTCCCTCTTCTCAGTAAGTTATAGCTGGCTGTGTGCTTGTAGATTTGAGGTTCTGTCTGTGCTTATTTTTCTTATTGAGTTTTCTGTCTGAGAATTTAGCTTCCTCAGCCTGGGTGCTGCCAGCAAGCTCTCATGTTTAAGCTTTCCATTCCTGGTTCTGCTTTCCCTCCACATAAGGTGTCTCAGGTGGACAATTGGGTGCAGTATCCCAACATACCCTGGTTGAGGCAAGTTTGCCAAATACTTTTCCATCATCAGATTATAGTATAAGATTAAGTGTCTGGTATATGTGCTTGTTCTGAGATCATGTGAAGATGTTGAGACAGACACAAGGCAAAGGGGGTATCTCTAGCAGTGTTTTCATGGGATGAGTATGGGAGAAATAAGTCCCATGGGTGAATGGTGTTCAGCAACCAGAGGGGCTATGCATGTCCCTTGTGTGCTCAGTCCTGCCAGGGATCAGGAATATCACGATGTTCAGTATGGGTGTACATAGTGCCTAGCACAGGCACAGAGTGGAGCATGATACAAGTTGTCATTTTACTGTCTAGTGTGCCCCATGTCTACCCATGATATCCCAAGAGACAGGCCTTTGCACACATTTGTTGCCCAGGAGCTAGTGCCCAGTGCCAAGAGCACCAGGCATCCTTGCCTTTGGGTTCCCACACACTCCCACACTCACCCCCTGGGAGCACTCCATTGGCTGAGGATGTCTGGAAACTATTTTGGGTCTATGCCCAGAGTCTCTGCCTTCTGTCTCTCCTTTGACCACTGCAAAAATGCCCTGTTGTCAAGAATCTGTGCTCATCGTCTTTCCACATGCTATAGGTCACTGCTCCTACTTTCTTGCTTGTGAAGGTCTAGGAGGAGCCCTTTCTCTCTGAGATCTGTTTACAAACAGCAGTGAACCTCAAGATATGGAGCAGGAAGGGAACCAATCTTGAGGATTTTAGAGTCGAGTTTGAGGATAGGGAGTAGGAGAGGGCTTCCCTATGCATGATAAGAACAGGAGTTAAATAAATCCCAGGGCTCAGTTCCACCTCCATGATGACTCCAACCCTTTTTGAAAGTCAGGGAAGAGGAAGAGAGCTTGGCATGATAGACAGGAGAGTGAACTGGAGAGAGAGCCTTCCTGCTCATGATGAGACAGGGGCCCAGAGGCTGTGTTCAAGGACCTTCCTGCTCATGATGAGACAGGGGCCCAGAGGCTGTGTTCAAGGACCATCCTCAACTAGTCTGGTGAGGAGGGCCTGGGTGCTGCGCTCCTCCAGCTGCAAATGGACATTTCTGCTAGAAATGAGCTTTATGATCTTGCCAAGTCCCCTCCCATACCCTGGAGGCTGTCACAAATGGTTTGGCTGGTTGGGGGATGGGAGAAGAGAGGGTGGGGAGGGGCTTTGGTTTGGCTTAGCTTTTGGGTCTCCCAATCCTCTTAAGTCCTTTCTTTCCCACTCTGACCTCTTGGGCTTTTGGCCTCATTTCCTCTCACACCCAGACATCTGGCAGTCAGCTGAGGACTCCCCTTGTTCCCAGCATCTCTGCAGCCTTGGAGAAGGAGGTAGCTTCCATACACAGGGTAGCTGGAATGAGTAAAACATATAGATTATTTTTCTAACCAGGACTATGATCCTATCCCTATCTGCTTTTTTTCAGTACTGGGAATCAAACTCAGGACCTTGTGCTTGCCAGGCAGGCAAGTTTGTGCCCCTGAGCTATATCCCCAGCCCCTATCTGCTTTATCTCCCTTTCTTCATCCCCTTTTCAACGTTTGCTGAGCATTACTGCTCAGTACGGTACTAGGTATAGAAAAAATAGTAGAAATCATTACTTGAACCTCACGAAGAGTCGGAAGTGATGACTGTTTTATTTAAAATCATAGGTAACTTTTCTTTTTTCTTTTGAGAGTGTCTTGATATAATTTAGGCTGGCCTTGAACTCAACTATGTAGTATGGGTTGGTCTACAGTTCATGGTGATCCTCCCATGTCAGTGTCCCAAGTGCTGGCCATTAGGCCTGGCTGCTAAAATCATAACTCTTAAGTGGGAAAACCAGCATTGCTATTTTTTGTTTTCATGCAATAAAAACCTTTGATCTTATGTTTTGGCCTATGAACTTGGACACTGCAGACAAAATCCTTTATACCATATATACCCAGCTCTTTACCTTTGCTTTCTTTCTGGCCCCGTGAACCTCACAGGATTTTGAAGGAAGAATCAACGTACTAACCTTATTTTTGAGAAGTTATTGTGTCCAAGAAATTGTTGTTTCCAAGATCTAGAGATGATGAGTAAGGATAGTGCTATCAGAAATGAACTAGCTGGGAAGGGAGCTGTACTGGGTAACAAACCTAGGACCTTGCTACATGCTAGGCAAGTGCTCTACCACTGAGCCACATCCCCAGCCATTTTTGTGTTTTATTTTGAGACAGGGTCTCACTAAGTTACTTACACTGTCCTCAAATTTGCAATCCTCCTGTCTCAACCTTCCACATAAGTGGGATTATAGGTATGTGTCACCTTGCCTAACAGAAATTTAGTTTTGAAAGGAAAGCTTAGTTTGGCCTTTAGATGTGTTGGATTTGACATCTGGAGAAAGCTGGATGGAAATATTCTGCCTAAGCTATGTACCCTAAACCCCAAATTACCTTCAATTCATTTGAAGCTTGAGTCTATTATCCCTTACTGCTTCAGGGGCTCCAGTGAGAGAAAGTGGGCAGGAAACCCTGTTGTCTAGTCTCTTTCCTTCCTATTTCCTGCTCTGGTCCTACTCTTGACTTTAGCATTGGGGAACTCGCTTAATGCCCACAGAAACTGAACAGGCTTGTCGTCTAAAGTTAGCTTTTCTCAAACTAAATCTGGGGAAGGGCCCCAGTTTTTGTTTTAATTTCCAGAGCATTACAGAACTGAAACATGATCCTGTTTTGTACAGCTACTTCACAGCTTTCAGCATGGGTAGTTTTTCTCTGGAGTTTGGTACCAACTAGACTGGTCTGTGAGCCATTTGATAGGGCAAGTCCTGTGATCATGCTCTTGGATGTCACGATGGCTTCAAATTGCT